ATGTACTATTTATAATTCCACCAAAGCTAAATGTAATACTCAAGCTGTTTGATGGTATGCTTCATGCATAACACCCAGAGTAAATATGGAAAGGGTTTTTGGAGTCACTGTATGTCCCCTTAGCACTGGGGCCCATGCAACAATGTTTTTCCCTCTGTTCTAACTGTAGCTGATCTCTCTAGTACCTCAGAACAGAAAGCTCTCAACAAACCCGGGGTACACTGTTACAATACACAATTTTTGGACCTTTAATTTTCATTCTCCTCTTCAACTTTCTTTTGTAGTTTTCACACACTGTGCCATGTGGCACTTTCCGTTGTTGTTTAAACTCCATTTCTCACGCAGTGGAGCTGGTCACACAGGCTGCGCCCTCTGACATCATCAGCCACTGCTTTCATCAACTGTACAGTACATAAGTACAAATACCCTGTAGTAGTATAAATACCCAACAGATCCAGGAGACCCCTCAGTGAGTCCTTCTGTTGTATACCCACAACTAACTTGGTCCTACCTAAGGGGTAATCACTCCCTCATCATTATTCTTTGCTTGTCTAAGTCGTGCGCCAGAGTAACTAACTCTTGGTTGTTACATACACACTTGTGGTCTACTGGATAGCGAAAGCTCAACACCAGTTTATGCCACAAGTCTTAATTTTCAAAAAGACTCCTCTTAACTCTGAGGTCCAAGTATATGATAGTAATTCCACTTAAGCCTGTGGTTTGGCTTTGCACAGTGTGCAGGAGAATGGTATAAGAGTAAGTCCTAGTGTAACAATACCCAAAGTTTGTAGACTCTAGTGCACACACAGTAAATTCAGGGAGTAATAAAGAAGGGATTATAGAGTTGGCAGACTCAAGGTGAGAGGAATAAGTTTGTTGTTGGTATACAACAGGAGGATTTGCTGAGGAGTCTCCATCTATTGCCAGATATATATACCTAAATTCATGTGGTACTGTGCAGTTTAATATAAATATAGGTAAACATTCTGTAGCATCCCATCATATTCTATATGATGTCATATCATGTGACTTCCAAAAGTAAAAGTCCAAACAATAAAAGAAAAAGAAAAGAAAAGTAAAATAAAAGTAAAAGTAAAAGTAAAATTGATGCTATCTTAACAATTCCTGTAGCTCTGACAATGGCATACAAATGGCTGCTATCAGTATCAGATATATAATATATATCAACACAGCATAGTGCTAGCAGGTGCACCCATGTAAGTATCCACTACAACACTCTTGTACTACTAGGTTTTAGTTCTCTGTAAGCTAGAATATCTTTGAATGTGTCTCAGGTTGATTTGTTGGTTATATTTGAATTCAGCACACTCATGGATGGCTGAGAAAGGCGGTGGTTTTGCAGTGGTTATCAACTGTTCTCATGTGTTGCATCAGAAGTGAGCGGATATCTTCTACTAGTAGTCCTTATAACCTAACTGTACTTACTAACAGTGCTACTGTTCAAATGCAATACAAGTTGTGAAGCTATACATGATTCCATGGTACCAATCAAAAAAGTCTTTATATCACATTAACACAGTCAGCACTGGAACTACTTATAATTCTCCTGAATCATATCAAAAAGCATTCCGGCACAAAAAAGGAAGTAATTCATAGCTCAAGAGTCCGCCAATTAATTGATATATATCACACTCATAAAATTATACATTGGACTATTTTTGTATATTATTGGCCATGTACTGGACAGCACACCATTGAAATACAATGGGATCACTTGTTTTTTCTCGATAACTCAAAGGCTCAATAATCCCAAAAATGAAGAATATTTTTGAGTACTCAGTGTGATAACACCAACAAGACACAGTCTTGGGGCACTGGAGCACAATGAAAACAACACTCAAAAGAAGAGGAAGAGGTGGGAGTGGTTACCCATTAGGATTCAACAAGTTAGTTGTTGGTAGACAACAGGAGGACTCACTAAGTCCTTCCCCACGTATTGCTCCTGTATATATACTAAAATACATGAGGTACTGTACAGTTGTTAATAAAGTTTAAAGTCCGGTCACATGATGAGTCTAGACATTGGTCAGGTATTGTGTCACATGACTGATCATGTGACTATGAAAAGTTCGAAAATGTAAAGTAAAGTAAATGGTCACATGACTGGCCATGTGACTTGGAAAAATAAAAGTAAAAGTACAAAAAAGGTGAAGCGTAAGTAGATACTGGTACGTCAATTGTAACACTCAGTCACTCAATGCATACTGCACTGGTGAATATTTTAGTTTGGATCTTGTATTACTGGGGGCAAAATCCCATGTTTTATGGTAAAATGTCTGAAAAACACTTAAAAAATAGAGACTTTGCTTTTTAGTATGTTTCTCCAAACAATATCAGAGATATTGATAAAAAATATTTGTTTAATATTGTCTTAAGAACTATTGGGGGAAACATACAAAATAAATTGTTGCAAATTATTGGTAGTTTATGTTGTATCTATACTAAGTGGAAATCAATTTTGTGACAATATATTTTGAACATTTTCTCCAATATTATATGAGAAAACATTGAAAAAACATTCAGCAAAATATCTTCCGTATTTTTTGGAGAAACGTGCTAAAAAGAAGAGTTTCTGTTCTTCAAATATGTTTCAAATATGTTCACATAAAATAACAGATATTACCCCTAGTGTATATCTCAACAATTTCAATGACCATGAGCTGAGTAAGGTGCAGTTTGTATCTAGTTGGATCAATGAGCATACTTCACAAATGAGAGGTTGTTGAGGAGGGGGAAACAATATAATGCATATGTATGGGTTATATAGAGAATACTTGTATAGATGATAGGTGTAATAACTTGGGTGACCTCTCTCTGCTTGTCTTGTTGTGCGCCAGAGTATACAAACTCAAACTTTGGTTGTTACATTAGGACTCACTCTTATTACTCTCTCGCACTTTGTGCAAACCCAGATCACAGAGTTAAGTGGAAGTCTTTTGAACAGTAAGACTTGGGGTGCCAGTCTGGTATTGAGCATTTGCTAGCCAGCAGAAACTAAGTGTGTGCCCCAATCCTGCAGGCAAGCAAGCTCCTCAGTACTAGAGAGAATTGAACCAAACCATACACAGCCCCCAGCGTTAAGGAGAGTACTTTAGCTCAGCAGTTGGTGTAGAACCACTGTTGATTATATTTAGATACAAAACTTCTTCTTCGTTTTCCTCTGACCAGATCAGGCACTTGTCTCTGCCAGTCTGGAGAAGGGTTGATAGTCTAATAAGCAGACCACCCCCTGATAACCGTTCGGACCAGGGTTTATCATGTTTACATTTTTACATAAATTTTCAAATACTTTAGTGTGGGTAGTCGGGGATTGAGACCCTTTACTCAGCTGGGAAGAGATTGATCTGCAGATAACAAGTGGGGACCCCCAGTTACGTTTCTTTAAGAGAACAAGTCAACATGACATTGCAAACTACCCAACCCGATGTTAACACTGTTATACAATGTGCGTGCACAGATTCTGGCATTGACAGTGCAGCTCGCTGAGACTCAGACAAACCCCCCTGAAGTGGTTGAGCAAAAATTCAACAAGAAAGTCGAAATCATCACTGATCCTGACACTTTTGAAGGAGACTGGGCTAGATTCACCAAATAGTGGATCAAGCTACAAATCTGGATCAAGGCAAACTGTGACGCATTTGCCAATGATTTTGAAGTAGTGACAGCAGTACTGTCAAGACTAAAAGGACCTGTGGAAGGTCAATACACCCAAGTGAGACTCCAAGAATGCTATACCGCTGGTCACTGGCCTACTTGGGACGAGCTCAAAGTTGAAATTGAAAAATATTTCAAACCACAAGCTGAGCATGACTGGGCACGCCAGCAAATCTGTACCTTAAAACAAGGAAACATGAGGACAGATGACTTTGTTACCCAGTTCCTGGCCCTCTCCATCCAAGGGGGTCTCAGAAATAAACACACTGTGGAGTTGTTGGAGCGCAATATGTTGCCAGCCATTGCACAACAACTTTACTTACATACAAAATATATGGAGCAAGGACTTTGCAACAGCTATTGAGGAGGTTCAAAAAATTGGTAAGGCTATAGAGCTCTATGCTATGCAGTTTGGTGGCGGCCAAAAATAACTATTCCCAGAGGTGCCCTGGGTCATCAAACCAAACTCAAAATCACTCTCACAGGCTCAAACTGTTTGGGCTGCGGCCAGGACAGAGTGCTCCTATGGATATCAACATCAATGTGGTCCAAGGCGGACAGATGCACAGATTCAAGGGCAACTTTTACAACTGTGGCCAGGAGGGACATATGTCCTGAGACTGTAGAAATGGAGTGCAGGCTGCTCAGCAAAAAATAAACAAGGGCACCAGGAATGCCAATTAGGAGTGGAAAAGCCAGACAATTGACTCAATACTCTAGCCGGTTGTTCGTATGACGAAATCCGGGCCTTCTTCTATGACCAACAGGTCAATAAAATGAAGGCTCAGTAAAAAGAGTTTGGAGCTTAGGTCACTTGGGTGCCTTTGCTCCTCTCAATGATAAAGTAAACCACAACAAGGTGGCCCCTGCTCTGGGGTGTTGCACAAGCAATAAAGGAAAGGGGGTGGCTCCCCAACTTGTAAATAAATTTCTAAATTTATTATCTGAAGTATGTACCTGTATGAAGGATTATAACTCTAATATTTATGATACTACCACTGCACCAGCATGGCCCCAGCGAGACACCTACTAGGGTGCTTGATTCTGGTAAAATTAAAATCATAGAAAATACTAAAGTAGAAAAACATATTTCTTTTGATTTTCCTTCTTCTTTAGGGCTACTTTCCACAGAAATCCCAAGGTGTGTGCTGATGTGCACATATTTATTCCAAAAATAGATCTGTTTAGAGGTTGGTGTGGAAGACCTTGCCCAGGGCATAGTACACCCAAGCAGTGCACTGCTTGATTCAGGCGCTAACAGTATCTTCATAGATCAAGTCTGGGCAGAGTGAGTCGAACTCCCCCTTGTAAAATTAGATATATCTATTCTTATCTATAACATTGATAGTGCACTTAACCCAGGTGGCTGCATTACGCACAAATGGTCTTTTGTTGTCAAGTATCAAGGACACAGAGAACGAGTCACCACCAAAGCTACCCAACTAGGGAAGATTAATTTAATCTTAGGCTGGACCTGGCTATTTAAACACAATCCTGAGATCAACTAGCAGACAGAGGTTATCACATTGTCATGTTGCCCTCAGGAGTGTGATGACTTAGGGAAGCCAAGTCATGTCCGTCAAACTGAGCTTGATGAAAGGATAAAAACTTGTCACATTTATGCCAAACTCAGATCTTTGGATAAGATTGATGATGACTATGATGAGATGAAACCTGAGGAAGAGATTAAGAGGCTGGTACCTCCAGAGTACCATAACTTCTGGATCGTTTTTTCAAAACACAAATTGGAGTGCTTCCCAGAAGCTAAGCCTTGGAACCATGCTATAGATTTGAAGGTCACATTCAAACCTAGAAAGGGACACATGATTCCCCTCTCTGCTCCCTAAAGAAATGAGGCATCAAGTTTCATAGATGAACAGCTTAGGAAGGGTTACATCAGACCTTCCAAAAGCCCTATGACGTCCCCGGTGTTCTTCATTCCTAAAAAGGATGGTAAGAAGCATATGATTATGGACTATCATTACTTAAATGAGTACACAGTTAAAAATGCATTTGGCAACCTACCAGTTCATGATGAATAAGATCTTTACGGATATGGAAAACTGTGTCATCATTTACATTGACAATTTATTAATATTTATGAAGGCGGACAATGAGGCTGAGCACAACAGGATTGTGCAAGAAGTCCTTTGACACTTACAGGAACAAGACCTATTTGTTAAACCCAAAAAATGTAACTTCAAAATAAAGGAAGTAGACTTCCTTGGTATGATAATAGGCCAGAACAGAATCAGGATGGATCCTGAGAAAGTTCAAGCTATATTGGATTGGCCAAAACCTACTCGTGTCAAAGGAGTTAGGGCCTTTCTTGGCTTAGGCAATTTCTACTGAAGGTTTGTTGAAAACTTTGCAAAGATAACGAGACTGTTGAATGATCTCACTAAAAATGATATTGTTTGGCATTGGGGCACCAAAGAACAAGAAGTGTTTGATAAGCTTAAACAGGCATTTACAACAGTGCCCATATTTGCATTTCCAGAATTAGACAAAGAGTTCTGGGTAGAAACTGACTCTTCTGATTTTGCTACTGGGGCTGTTCTATCAATTAAATGCCCTGATGATTTTTGGAGGCCTTGTGCCTATCTATCACATAGTTTATCACCTACAGAGTACAACTATCAAATTTAAGATAAGAAGATGCTGCCCATTGTTAGAGCTCTAAAGCACTGGCGGCACTACTTAGAAGGTGCTAGGCACCAAGTCAAAATTTGAACTGATCATAAAAATCTGGAGTACTTTATGACAGCCTGAGACTTGAACCAAAGGCAGGCCCGCTATGTGGTATACTTGTCAAAATTCAACTATAAATCAATTCATAAGCCTGGAACTTTTATGGGAAAAGTGGACGCTTTATCTAAAAGAGATGATCATGCCAACGACATTGAAGATGACAACAAAGGTGTCACCCTGACAGATCAATCCAGGGTTGCCAATGTTCAAATCGGGCAGGATCACAATATTCTAGAAGTCTTCAAGAAAGGCATCTCAATCTCATCAGAGGAGAAAGTGTGCCTTGACAGCAATGAACACTGTTTATGGGAAGACAGGCTCTTCCATTACAAAGACAAAATATATGTGCCTGAATCTGCAAGGATCAAGGCAATAGATAGACATCATGACACACCAGTGGCTGGGCACCCTGGGTGGCAACAAACAATGGAGTTGAAAGACATACAGGAACACGTAAAATCCTATCTGAGATGTGCTATGGCAAAGAATTCACATCAACCGCCGGCTGGTAAACTTATGCCAAATCCAATACCAGCTGGTCCTTGGCAGGATATATCGGTTGATTTCACAATAGATCTACCTGAATCAAATGGGTATGATTCAGTAATGGTGGTTGTGGATCGCTTCTCCAAAGAAGTGGTATTCATTCCCACCAACAAAACTATTACAGCTGCTAGTACGGCAGACTTATTTAAAGATTTTTTATGGTCTACCCACGGGTTTCCAGAAACAGTTATCTCCGATAGGGTGCCTCAATGTGCTAGCAAATTTACAAAAGAACTATGCCAGATGCTGGGCATCAAACACAAATTATTAACAGTGTTCCATCCGCAAACAGATGGACAAACAGAGAGGCTCAACCAGGAGTTGAAGCACCTCCGTATATTTATCTATGACAGACAGACAGATTGGGTCAAGTGGCTAAAAATAGCCCAGTTTTTGTACAATATCAAACAGTCGTCTACTACAAGAAAAGCACCATTTGAGGTTAAAAGGTTGTACCTCCCAAGAATGGGTGTAGAACCTGGAAAAAGCAAGAACGAGACTGCTGAGAACGTGATCAAAGACATGAAGTCTGTCTTAGATGAAACACGCAAGGCGCTATTCAATACTGCAGAGCAGATGAAAAACAGGGCAGAGCATAGATGCTCTAAGGCCCCTGATTACAAGGTTGGCAACCTGGTCTGGTTAGATACCAACCACTTAAAGTTAAAAGATCGGCAGTCTAGAAAACTTACCAAAAAGTGGGTTGGGCCTTACTGGATTAAGGAAGTCAAACCCAATGCAGTGGAGCTGTAACTCCCAAAACAAATAAGGGTAGTACCAACGGTCAATATTAGCTGAGTGAAACTCTACAAAGAACCGCTGCCGGGACAGCATGTAGACCTGCCCGGACCGGTTTCAGTCACCCAGGAAGGTGAAAAAGAATTTGAAGTAGAACGGGTGGTGGATGCACACTTAAAGCGTGGGAAATTAGGATTCCTGGTCCTGTGGAAGGGCTATAGAGACGAGGACAGAATGTGGGAACCAGAAGCCAATCTGGACAATTCCTGTGATACTGTTTGCAACTTTTACTCCAAGAATCCCTTGGCTCCTAGGAAGCTTAAAGGCATGAATTTGAATCCTTTTTAATTCTCTTTTTCAACTGATGCCCAAAAATCTAACTACTACCTCCGGTACTTGGTCTTGCCTGAAAGTCGAGCCTTACAAGGGGGGTAATGTTACAATACACAATTTTTGGACCTTTAAACTTCATTCTCCACTTTAACTTTCTTCAGTAGTTTTCACACACTGTGCCATGCGGCACTTTCAATTTTTGTTCAAACTCCACTTTCTCTTGCTGCGCTGCTTTTCTTTATTCTTAGCTACAAGTCTTTCATGCAGTGGAGCTGGCCACATGGGCTGTACCCTATGACATCATCAGGCACTGCTTTCATCAACTGTATAGTACACATATACAAATAGTCTGTAGTAGTATAAATACCCCAATAGTTCAAGGAGACTCCTCAGCGAGTCCTCCTATTATTTACCCATAACTAACTTGGTCCTACCCTAAGGGAGATTATCCTCTCCTCCACTCACCCCTGTCTGCTTGTCTTGTTGTGCGCCAGAGTATACAAACTTTGGTTGTTACACCTTCTGCTCAATTACCACACAATCACACCTTAGGCTATAAGTACGGCGAACCAGGACTCCTTCTCTGCTGTGGTAACAGATGATATGGTTATTTGTGTCCTCAATGGCACCCATAAAAACACACAAATGCACCTGAAAGACGTGTTATACACACTAAAATTGGCCTACACCCTGATTTCAATTGTCTGTATGGATAAGGCGGGCTACAAAGCTATCTTTGAGAAAGGCAAATGTGACATCTATAACCCAAAAGAAAAGACAATAGGGCACGTACCTAAAGTGGGTGGTGTGTATCAGTCACAAGGCAAAGTCTTTGCCACAAAAGCACCAATGCAGTTATTGAGTGTATCTCTGCCATCAAACTTCACAAGCACCTTGGCCATATAGCTATTGATGCAGCAAAGTGCATGGTGTTAAAGGGTTTGACCCATGGGGTTGAACTCCTGGAGAGTGGGGAAACATTGCATAGGAATATGGCTGGGAGATCCACACCAATCTATGGGGACCTGTGTCAGTCAAGATGCTCAGTGGAAAATGTTACTATGTTGCCTTCACTGATGACAAGATAAGTGAGACTCATATATCCCACTCGGCTATCCCAGGTCAGTTGAAAGTGCAACAGAGTATGGTGCTCTTTACGGCTTCCAGTGCAGTTTTATTCAACACTTTTTGCCAATTCCAAATGTATGAGGCTTGGATTCAAAACCACACTAACTACATATGTGGTCCAAATTTGCAAGCACCTGATTGAATTGTTCAAAACTAGGGTTTGGAATGAAGGAAACTCCTGTTTCCATTGAGAAAGTGTCACAACAGTGATTAGCAGATCCTTGAATGCAATGGCCCCAGTGAACAGTTGATGTTGGACTACTTTGCTGCTATTTTTTTCACTTAGTTTGTCTTTGTGTGCCTGCCACCTTCCTACTTTTGAGCTTCCAATTGTGTTCTGTTTGCATTACATTATATTCTTCTTAACTAATTCTCTCCCAGTGTATTGCTACTGACTGCCACTTTCATAGCAACATCTCAAGCTCTGGAAGAGCACTTGTTGTGTAGCTAATTTTTTAGACAGGAATATTCCCAGGCCAGCCTTTTATGTAACCTCTTTAGTGTTGTACTATGTTTTGCCAATACTGCAACTATTGCACCTTTGCATCTGGATTGCCAGTAACGTTGGCTAGATCAGGTTAGTCTAATATGTAGGTAGGAGAAATAAAAGATACTAACCAAGCTTTGTTATTAATTCAGTGTAAATATGTGCTTATATACTAGAAATATGTATGTATTGATTATGGGTATATCAGTATTGACCTTGCACTCTACAGCCTGCAGGGTTTGGGTAATGTTGTTTACTTTAATTTTGTGGATATACAATTTCACTTTCTCTCTCCGTGTTTTGTATATTCTTTGAGAATAAAAGCTCTCTTATCTGAAGTCAGTGTATGTATGGTGTGCATGGTATTTGATACTATAGCCACAAACAAGGCTTTGTAGAACACTGTCCCACTTCCTTCTAAAAAATGGAGTTAGCACACTGCTTTACTATAGGAGATAAATCACATACTTTTACTCATATCTGTCTGACAACTTTTCTTCCAGCAGAGTGTATTCCAAGAACTCAGCTTGTGTCTGTGGTGTTTTGATACTTTGTCAAAATATAGATTATTTTGGATATGCTAATAGCCTTTATAGCTCCACACTGTAATGGCAGCCATTGTAATATTGATATGTTCTTAACACAGCAAGCATAATTGACTTTTGTCACACCCAAAATTGATGAAAAAGCCTGAAAGTAGTTAAATATTTGACTGTATTTTGAATTTACAAGATTTTGTAAACCAAGGTAAATAAAGGAGCCACAGAGGCAAAATAATAGAGGACACAATCAATACTGAATGATAGAGGAATAGATAGAGAAAAAAATGACAATATGTAGAAAGTACACAGATGCAGAATCACCAAAACTAACACAAAAATAATCTCTTTCATCTTGTTGAAGAGTATCATCTAAATCCAATATAGCTTTATGTTAATTGTATCTGTTACAAAGTGATACTAGGTAGTAGCTTCAGCAAATATAGGAATGTGTATGTATGTCTAAACTTACCTCAGTCTCTTGTACAAGGACTGAGGTATCCAGAAAGCGTGAGCAGGAATTTCTATAGTAGTATAATGTCCGATAACTAAATAGGAAAGTGACTCTCAGCCACCACTTCCATTGGTGGTAGAGAGCAATAGTGCATGAGGCTCAAACCTTATTAACTTGGACAGATATGTGACAACACTTTATTGACAAACTTTGCTGCACCTACTCTGTGTTAACACCCACAGCACTACTTTCAATGCACACATATTCATATTAGTCCACATGGCATTCAAGGCCTTACTCACATTTTTCCTTGTGTGCAGCTTAGCTAAAAAGCCAGAGCTGTTGTTAAAGCAAAAAGTAGTGAGCAATCCCAACAACTCAGAGAAGATCTTGAAGCTGCTTGCACAGCAAGCATAACCAATTGTTGTCACACCCACAATTAATGAAAAAGCTTGGAAGTACTTAAATATTTGATTGTATTTTGGACTTACAAGATTTTATGAGAATAATGTATTTTTGTTAACATATTTCTATTTTTCCACACAAAGTCTTGTGATTAGTTCATTAACAGTGACAGCAACAAGAGAGACAACAAACGTAACAGGCAGCCAGTTCACTGAAGCCAGTGTTCAGTAGGCTGATGCATGGCAGTGGCATTGCCAAACCGTAGACCTAATCTTTGCTTACTAGATGTCGCATCCTTTTGCAGCATGTTTTTTAAATTGGAGTAATCTGAGCAATACCCATCATGAACAAGATACAGGGAACAGAATGATATTTGCGGCTCTAATCACTGATGGGCAACCATGATAGCATCAGATATGAAACCAGCTGAAACCTGTCTTCCGCCAAACCATCGGCCATTGAGGCCTTGTATAGCATTTTTTGCGGAATCGATAGAATTGAACTTAACGTATATCTTGCCCTAAGAGGGACTATGGTCGTGAGAACATGAAACTCCAGAAGAATACAATAGACTTGCTTGGGTCTCTTGTTCAACCTTGATTGCGTCGACTTGACCATATTTGTCTTCGCATTCGCCTTTCACGTCTTCAGCTAGATCTTTGTCCCAATCACGCTCTGTCTCCCTGAAGCGACGTTACTGAAAAGGGTCTAGAACAAGAGCATAAATAGACGAACTCTTCGGGATCAAACATGTTTTTCAGCAGCACGGATCTTGATTGCATTGCTTGAGGGATGGTCGGCTTGTTGCTAAGCTCTGCTCATCGATAATAAGCCCGGCATAGAGAAATATATCACACACTTTGTCGGGGGTTTGGGTATTGGTTCAATTCTAGCTAATTTTTGCATTAGGGCTTGTCGAGAGGCTGCGTTCAAGTTGCCACCTGGTTATACGCAGTTACTCAGTTAGTAACTCAGGTCATATGATAAAGTATCTACTTGCCTCCTGCCTCGTCCAAAGTATCTTGTTGAGCATATCGAGCGGTGCCCTTTTCGTGTACAGTATTGACACGCAGCTGCGGATGTGGATGATTGATTAGCGAACGAAAAATAGCAAGAGATTTCTTACCGTTCGACCTGCAAGTTCAAAGCCTTCCATTTGTTCCAGGGCCATCCTTGCATCCTCAGCTCTTTTATATCTAATAGTGGACGGTGAGCGATTGGACATGATTAGGAAAATAGATAAATCGTTACTGCACAAAAGCGTAGCCTTTGCTGCGCCCCGTCATGGGGTCCCTATGAAGGTCGACAAATTCAAGTTCACCAAATGGTTCGAAGACCTGTTTAATATCGGACTCGGTGAGGTTGAAATGTAGTGAGCCGACATAAAGCCTGATAGATAGAGACTAGATATAAGACCTGCAAAAAGTACCAAAGACAACGTACTGCATAGCTCCATGTGGAGCACTAACTCCAGGGGGGAGATTAAGATTGCTGCCCGAAGTGAGCGAACAAATGAGAACGCAAGTACGAAGGTGTCACTTACCCATCTCCTGGATGAAGCTTGTTCCTTTCGGATTCCGTTAATTGGACCATGACGGGAAGACCCATTACTACAGTCCCACTAAGAGAGATAGCTTTCTCGACCATATCAATTGAGCGAAATTCGACGTAGCCAATACTAAAATCTTCTATCAGTGGAAGCACATGGTCAACTATAATGTGTTCGTACCCTTTCGAACGGCGAGACAATCTGTCTGTGACGATCCTTGAATCCATCACAGTGCCTTCACCCAGTTTGTCCTCGAAAAAATATCCAAGGTCTCGGGCAGTAAGCCGTGCAGCAAGCTGAGAGACAAACACAGATCGGGCTTCAGAATCGTCTTCTTTAGGTTCTTCGGGATTGTAATCATCAGGAGTATCATATGTTGGAGATGACCGTCTGTAAAACATTGATAAGTATCACTGGTTGAAAACATTAACAGACACTCACTGTAGGATAAGACTTGTCGAAGTTCGCGCTTCCAGCTCATCTTCGTCGAGGAAGGAATATCTTGCATCCCTAGTCACATCTCTATCTGTTCGATGTCTCAGAGGATCATCAAATTCATCACGGGGATCCCGATGTTTCATCCGGTCATCGAACCTACGTTCTCGTGAGCGCTCTTTAAGGTCAGATACTCTGTTATTGGGACTATCCTTGATCGGAGCTGTAGGTTGTGGTAGGCTCGTTGCAGATGGGAGGGGAGGGAACAAATTTTCTACGCCGTCATCTGATCTCTTTCTCTTTGAACGACCATCGTAAGCATGAGCCTCTATAGAGTCCCCGATTTCATCTCTCTTTCTTCTCCTTTCTTGATCTCTATCTTGACGTTCTCCTGTGTGGTGGTGACTATCATACCTATCGCCACGATGACGCTTATCTCTTTCCCTACGTCCGCTATCCCTGTCCTTGTTTAACAAATCACGCGATTTGCTTCGCCTACCTCGCTCGCGGTACCCTCGTTCAATACGCCATTCGTCATTGTCACGATCCCTCCGGCGGTCTCTTCGCCCCCTCTCGCGAGAATGAGAACGATGAGATTTTCTAGTACGATGAGTGTCGGATGAATGGTTACGAGAACTATAGGATGTGTCACAACGCGATCTGTGGTGAAAAAAGGCAAACATACGATCTACAGTGAGGTGATGTGTCGACGTGAATTTTATCGCGAGGTGAAGACATCTTGCAATCCCGAGCTAAGTTATAATACACGGCAAGCAAATATAAAGAGGAAGCAAGCACTACAGATGAGACAGAGCGAAATCCAGGATGAGGACTTGGGACAATGTACGCAGTTTTCCAACTAGACACAACTGAAGCCTAAGCGAGGCTTCGAAGCTTTGGGGCCAGTGCCAAATGAAACCAAATAAACGGACTTCGAAATTGCTAACCCGCCACTCACCACAGGCAAGAAAATGTGGCCGTTAGTTTGATGCTGCAGCGGTCATGTGCCTTATAACCCCGGCCTCTGCGCCCGGCCACCTAAAACGCCGCCTGTTGTCAAAGACAAAAGATCATGCCAGTTAGAGCTCGACAATACTGAGTTTTTGAGTAGTAGCACGGACAATTTGATGTCACGCATCAATCATTTAGTTAGGTCTCAATTTAGCTGGCTCCAGGTAAGTTTAATTGGACGATGTAGAAGAGAGAACCTCCACTTCAGGCGTCAGATTCAAAACTTCTGGGTTGTGAAGTTTAAGATTACACAGAGTGTGCTTTCCACGAACATAGAACATTATGGATTATTCAAATCGTGTTGTATGTATTAAGTTGTGGGTCAATGATGGCCTGGTTTTTTACAGAGGTGAAATCTAACATGCCAGCTATGTATCACAACAACTTCTTCTGCGCTGTGATTTCTACAAACATTCAGCTTACACAATGGCTACTAAGTCATGCAAATAGAGAATACCAGCATGTGAATTTTCCTTCCTGTTTTTTGAGTTTTGGCTGCGAGTCTGTGACGGTTGTTGCCTGACTGGTACACAAAGCTTCTGTCATTCACTGCTCTGCACTTGTTGCTGCGGTATAGCTTCCAGTGCTTGCACTTGTCTCCAAGATGAGGCTTTGGCGGAGCTTTCTGTGTATACATGCACCTGTGACTCCCATAGAACACGGCTAATTAGGCTTGATATCTGGTGGTGATGACAAGCCTAATTAGGCCCGAATCTCACATTTTCTCCCCTCCTGCTATATTTCTTCTGTAATTCCTATCTTAGAGTCAGCATATAAGCATTGTACAATGTAGCATTGAATGGATGACTCACAACTATTACAAATGCTTGCGTCATCCTTCAGAGAGGCCACGTCACTCCCCTCCGGTTGACATGGCTCATCACTATTACTAACCTCCCTCAACACTCAACAAAGCATGATGCAATGGGCCTCTATCACGTGTATTTTGGCCGTTTCCACCAGCGCCTCCTGTCTGCCGCAAACATGCGCCTGTTGTGTTGCATCACTATCACGTGGCGTCACCTTGCCACCCAGTGTTTGAGTCTTGCTCGTCATCTAGCATAGCGAGCTCATCATTGACAGCCCAGCAAGCAGTTAATTACACAAGGGTTTAGCTACAATGTATGACTAGTCTCTATGTTAGAGACAACCTGAGTTATATTGTGCAATGTACATGTAGCCTCTTCTGCACAATCATCATCTTCTTCTTCGTCCTCTAGTTCTTCCCAGGTATCTTCTCATATTATAGTGCGCTGCAGAGTAACATTTGAGGATGCAATGATGTCCTGTGAAGATGTTGTTTGGGTATCATATCCATGTGAGCTGTCAAGCTAGACAGAATAATGTAATGTTAACTGGCTTGCTAAAGCTAATATATTGGTATTATATACCTAGACAGAATAATGTACTAGAAGGCTATTAATGATATGTCTCTATAATGTCTGCATAATTATTACTCACATGTTAACTGGCTTGCTAAAGCTAAGGCAGTTACACATGTGGTGTGACGTTTCTATGTGAGTGGCTGTGCAGATTTGTAATCAAGGAATCAGAAATCCGGAGAAGTTCTATGTATGGTTGTTATATTCTAACAATCCAAGCTTCGGAACACTTGTACTCTCTCCTAACCCAATATTGGCGCTCTCCCCAAATGCTATTGTTCCAGTGAAACCTGGCAGCCGGGTGATTTCAGAGAGACATTGTAGGTGATGTGCGTTAAACCTGCCCTTCTCCATACAATGGACAGATATCTGATAGGCAAGATGAGGGTCAAACACATGCAACTGGTCCTCACATGCATGCAAATACCCATCCTCATCTCACAGGTATGTAGAAACCCTCTGAATCTCTATATTTAGGCGTTTGATTTCTTCTTTAGCTCGAAGAATTTTGAAATACAGGTCCATTGTAACGACCAAGAGTTTCTTACTCTGGCGCACAATTCAGACAAGCAAAAGAGAAGAGAGAAGGGATCACCCCTTAGGTTTCAACAGGTTAGTTGTGCTAGACAATAGGAGGACTTGCTGAGTCCTTCCCCATGTATTGCTGCTGTATATATACTAAAATACATGAGGTACTGTACAGTTGTAAATAAAGTTTAAAGTCCGATGTTTAGCATGTGACCAGTCACACTAGTCAGGTGATATGTCACATTATTGGTCATGTGACTTATGAAAAGTCCGAAAATGTAAAGTAAAGTAAATGGTCACATGATCAGTCATGTGACTTGGAAAATGAAAAGTAAAAGTACAAAAAGTGAAGTGTAAGTAGGTGCTGGTATGTCAGTTGTAACATCCATGGCCATTTGGCCGGCTGGCTTTGCCCATGGTCATTTTGATATGTCCTGTCATGTGTCACGTAGAAGGTTAAACTCTGATAAAAATGTGTAGTTGACAACCTCCTTCCACTCTAGAGTTTGACGGGGTGGGGATAGTGCCTTTGCTGCTGCGTTGTACCGTTCCAGCGCTGTTCGGATGGTGGCAGACCGTGCTTGTAAAGCTTTACCAATGTGTTTGCGTAGCGCATAGCCTAGGTAGAAGTGAATGTAGCATCTAAGCAAGGTAGCTATAACTTACCGGTTTGTGATCTATTCATTTTGCTTAGCTCAAAAATACGAACTACGATCAGACCCTCGAGGTGATCTAAAGCCCGCTGATAGTCTCTCATGGCTATTATTCTAGTGGTACTTTGCGACTCAGCCCCTTCTGGTGTCCACTGCTTGTCTATAGTTAGTTTGAGCTCCAATGCTTGTACGGCTTTCAACTTTTCCATATAATCTTCAGTAGCATGTCGACGAGCCATCTCCACCTTTCAGCTAGAATCTTTCCCTGTTGCAGCAAGAGTGGAGGCTGTCGGAATTTGCCACATATGTAACTTCCCTTGAAGTGCATCCCTGCAGCACTCAAGTTGCACCATTCACACCCAATATAAAGCGAGGACTCACCAATTGCTCTGTAGCTTCACCAGCTTCTCTAAGTACTCCATCTGCAGTGTTTCTTTGTGGGGCTCCTTCTGCAGATTCGTAAGGTAGTCCTTTTCTTCTTTCAACCACTCAACCAAACATGCTTTCATCTGAGATCTCAAGGTCCTTCATGGTAGCAGCGAGGGCAACAGGGCCCTCTTCTAATATATCAAGTGATTGCTTGTAATTATCATGCAGGAACATAGCTCACAGCCAATTTCAGTAGTAAAAGCATTGATTAAAATCAACCCACATACTTAGATTTTGATACACCTCAAAGTTGTCATTGTGCTTGAAGTAAGTGGATATGGCCTGTTTGCGATGGAAGAAATATAGCAGGAGGGGAGAAAATGTGAGATTCAGGCCTAATTAGGCTTGCCATCACCACCGGATATCAAGCCTAATTAGCCGTGTTCTGTGGGAGTCACAGGTGTTTAGATGGGAGAGAACAAACAACAAATATATTTTTTAAAATGTAAACCATCATATATGTACAAATTAAATACATATCTGGCTCTGTATTATTATCAAGATATGTATAACATATATAAATATCAATACCAACTATTGCAGGAATTTATGTCTGGCTGTACCGCAATATGTAACGGACCCTCATTGCCTCAATTTTAGCTAGGATGGAGCATCAAATTTCCTCCATGAGGCAAAGATGCTGAGATTGCAATATTGATGACAATATTAACACAAGGCAAGTACAAAGGTGATTTTGAAAAGGACCAGCTCCTGAAAGGATGAGCCGCTTTGTCTGACTATAAAGCAAGCTCTGGCTGGCTCTTCAAAGAATATCTAAGAACAAATCCCTCCCTCCCTCAGCTATGTCAGATAACATCCCATTTTACCCTGAATATACTCTGCATCCTATTGAACAGAAAGAGGATATCACTTACTATCATGCAATTAATACTTGAGGATACTCTATCCTCAACAAGAATGGGAACCCAGTCCACTTCCCATTGCTGGCGCTGTCTATGCGCGTAACTGGAAAAAGGATCTCACCAGATGCTGCCATAGTGCCTAGTTGGATAGTAGTTTCTGTGCAAGATTAGCTTAGGTGAGGACAAGGGCAGCTCAAAAGCGGAAAATCTGGAAAGCTCGCCAAGAAAGGGTACAACAGGGGAACATCTTGGCTGCAATGTGATTGAAATCATATCTTCGCACTAAACAAGCCCAGTTCTTCTTTGATATCTGTTGCTTTACAGTTTTGGGACTCGTGATTACTGGTTACATAGATTAGTAATAACCTTTCATCTTAGACGAGGCATTATTACCTGATAAATATTACTATATAGACAGGGCCAGCAGAGTCCGGCTGAGTGTGCCAGCCAGGCCATGTTAGACGTGATATTATTGTGCCATCATCAACAACCCAACTGGGTGAGACACTGCCCATCCAAGACAACCTGGCTAGGTCAATACATTACAGGGTGCTCGTCTTAGACAACCCAGCTGGGTGATAGGTGCCCCGGCTGGGCCACAGGATGATGAGTGGCAAAGAGTGCAATAGATTGCTGAGATGCAGTGTGGTCTTACCTCCACTCTTGATGGATACTGTATCTGAGCTATTATTAAATCTTGATAATTCTGCCCTCTAAGGTCCTGATGGATTTGAGGTATCCATGAGACATCTATTTACATATAGCAATATCTACATGAGTATTGGTATACCCAGGTCAAAAACATTTGTCTCTGTGCTGTCTTTTGATGCTGTGGCAAGGTTGCCATTGCAATCCCCCAGCCCTCTTCCCATTTGTCCCCGGGAGGCTGTTGATGCCCCCCAGACATCACACTCCCTCGGCCCAACACCCCCTTTGACTTCCCATTGCCACCCTTCTGTCCCACCCCGATCTCTCCTCCAACCCAATCAGGCAGGAAGAAACACCTTTGGACATTCCTGGAACCCCTTGTCCGTCCCCCGGGCCTCCACCTTATTGGCCTTTTGAGGCCCAACAAGGGGATTCACCTCAGCCACCAAGGCCTCATACACCCCCGGGAGGTGATGTCCCTATCACTGTTGCTCCTCAAAGTGATGGTTGGGACCTCATTGACTTCAGCTTTACATCCCCGGTCCCTAGCCATATACAATGGTCGTCCCCAGCACAGCAGTGGAGTCCGCCTCCTTCCTTGGAAGAAAGGGTAGCAAGGATGGAATGAAGGCAGGGGATTATTGGGGATCTCTATGAGAGGATTAGCCAGCTGGAGGATGAGGTAGCAAGGTTGAAAGCAAAGGAGAGGGAGTACAATCAGACGAAATCATAGTTCAATGGACTTGTAATATAATTTTATTTGTTCTAGATTTCATTTGCATATACTTATAATGTGTGATAAGAAACAAGGCTGAGAACTCTACCCCGGGCCCCATCAATATGGCCCAGGACCTGTCTAACTTCAACACATTGATAAGCTATTGGTAAGTGATGCTTGGCAAAATGGAAACATTGCCCGGGAATGGTCTATAGCCAAGTGATCTATGATCTGTTCAGCTAGGCTGTAAGATCTAAACCGGGATTACTACAACACTCACATCCCCAGATACACTTTTTAAACCCGGGATGACAATAACGCTCACATCCCCAGGTACACATTTTAAACCCAGGGCTATTATGTACATTTATCACATTACTGTACAAGAGGTGTACCTACTATGCAATGCCTCCTGGGTTTCTTTACCTTTAGTGTCTGATCTACCTTGGTGTCCTTGGCTTGTTGAAGCTGCTTTACTGGACTATTACCTGACTTTGTCCTGTGTGCAATGTTCCCGGGTTCCCCATCCATCTCCTCATGCCCACATTTGGTGGAACTCTGCATTGCCCTTGTCAGGGAAGGCGGATTCCAAGCTATCTTGTATTGCAGTGGTCATGTCCCTGCAGAATGGGAGGATAGTTTCGCCCACCATGGCAAACTCAATATTTGACCATGTCAAGTTGTCATCCTCATCAGCAAATTAGATTGTATGAAGGTCCCGGAGCAGCATTCCTACCGCCAAACACATCAGGGCCATAGCTGTATGGCCCCTAATACCTGTGTGGCTGTCCTAGGGCTTGACAATGGAAAATAGTTCCTACAACTTAGAAATCAAGACATGAAATAATAGTTTAATAGTGATTGTGTAGTCAATATCAACATTATTGACAATCACAATAGCCCATGAAGTTCTGTAAAGTAAAAACTGCTTGTATTTAATACATAACAAAATCACTATTAATGGTTATTTTATGAGTGTACAAGAAAAGAGATAGCTATATCTTGATATCTTTTCCCTTACTTGCATCTTTGAAATATAGCATTTTAGGCCCACTAATGAACAATTATCACAATAACGCAAAAATATATTCATATTACAATTCAACCTAAGATTTATTTATGTCGATTGTATTACAGATAAATTATTCATAAATCTCTACACTACTACATATATAAAAGCATCCTTCATGCTTTGCTTATATTGGACTAGAATCATCCCATTTCTTGCTGGGATTTTCCCAGATTAGTGTGAACATTCAAACTCAGCTGCAATAATCACACCCTGTTTTTTGATTTGCTAGATTGGTGCAGGATTATCCTTTGTAAGACACAGAAAACTGGGTAATATTATTCTCTTTAAGTCTATACAGTCTGCCAACTGTCCATGTCACATGAGATTGAGAATGGCATGGGACCTTCTGTGTATCACTTAAACTAGTGCTGATATGATCCAGTTTGGTCCAGTTCTTAGCACTTTAGATGTTCAGGACTGTTCAGAACTACTGAGAACAGTCCAGGATCCACCTTCCCTTGTGCATACAGGAACATAATATGTGTTTGGTTTCCTGGATCCTCTGAACCTCTGATCAAACTCCTTGAAACCAGACTAAAATTCACATCCAGACTATGGTCCTAAACTGGACTGCAGCAGCACTAACCCAAACAAACTCAATAAACATATGACAAATACAAGACAGCCACATATTGCATTGCATCAGAAAAACAAACAATCCAATAAAAATGATCCAACATAGTTAGCATTGTATTCCTGGTATTGTAGGCTACCAAGTCTTAATTCAGAATTAGAGACTAGATATGACATTAGATGTCTGCACCAAGTTCTGTATAAATTGATTCATACTACATGTTCCAAAAATTTAGTTTTTGTTGGCCTTAAATCACCAATGGCCATAGCCTAACCACACTTTATTGTTTGAACACCAATGAGTCAGTTGCATTCTTTTATGATGTCAGACCTTGCATGATGCCATTCCAATCTCTTCCTTCCAATAGAGATTTTTTAATGGGTATGCTTGCACATCCACAGGTTTGCCTCAGTCAGTCCTAATAGAACTATGTAAAACTCAGCCGCTGCCCAAGAGGCTATAGAAACGACTATATGATTTACCTATGTGAAACTACAATGGATGTTAGTTTAAGGTGATCTTTAATAAATGTAATGTAACATACCTCAGCCGCTGCCCAAGAGGCTATAGAAATGACTGAGGTATTTCTATACTAAACCCCCTACTACTTATAGCCGGAGGTGCTACTCGCTATAGTATAATGACTCCATGGAGTGGTGGCTATGCTCCATGGAGAACAATGGCTGCTTTGGCAGAGACCGGGTTTATCCGGTTTTGTCAAGTCCTTTGCTACTCCATCTTCAATGTCCACTTTGTCCTCCTTTTATATTCCTAGTTTCTTGATGGCCTGGGCGTCAGATACTTGGAATTACATGGTCAAAATGAAAATGTTGATAAACTCCTGTAATTACAATATGGTTATACCAGTACTAGGGGTGCCCGGGGGGCAATGGTATATAATGTAGATGTAGGAAATAAAACCTACTATAGTTTGCAGTGTGATAGAGGAAAATAGCCAATATTTTTCTTATGTTGTCCTTAGATGCAGAAGGTTGAATATTGTTAGATCAAGACATTAGACAGCTGGTGTGGGGAATATTTCTCTACACCTTAGGCGAGTCCTGTGACAAGGACTGGTGATACAGTAGTGGTACTACAGCTTTAAAAATATAAACACTAATAAGCCTATCAGATAATTCACAAATATTGGTAGGAAAACAGATATATATCAAAATACAAGTCAAATCATACAATGTACAACATATAGCTTACATTGAGACAGCAACTACATGATTAAGCACAACATGAAAACAGAAAAAAAGCTATCACTGTATTATCTATCACATGTAAGATTCACAATACATCAACTCCAACTATATAATATTTTGAGTATTGGTCTTCTGATATGAGAAATAAACAGTACACTGTTATTTCCTACTGGCCTTTTTTTTTCAGCCCTCAGTCTTGGCTTTTTAATATTGTCCTGCACTGTGTTGGATAGCTCAGCCAACCCAGAGACGTCAGGCGACCCCTGGTTATTGAGGTTCTGGCGCATTGTGTGCTTGCCATTATATCAATCAATTTAGTGCAAGTAGGCCTTGTAATAAACTGAGTTGGACATGTGATTGGTCAAAATGTCCTAATTGAGATTGAGGTTAGGCTTTGAAAAGCGAACTTGTCAAAGTTGGCTCAAATTGACATTGAGGTTTTCCAGATTACAAATACACATAACATAGATTCTATGTCTGTCATATCACATGTTGGATACAGTATCTTTCATTTTGTTAGCGGACAAAGATATTCATATTTATCTATATTACTCACTCCAGTAGCAGTAGTGGCAGGGTTATTAGAGTCAAAGTTAATCAGTGCATCCAGCATTGGCCATTTGTAGACATGGTACTCAATTGTACAGATATCAAGTCAATAGTGACCTTCAACAATGACTGGCCCAAACATTGTTTGCTCAGTTTTCTTGGGATGGAATTGCTTGAAAGTAAGCTTCTCTTTTTTCCTCAACTGCACTTCCTGTTTGTGGGGACGTCCATTTACAATACTCGCTAATAAAACTAAGAAGCAAGAGGGAGACTGAAAGTATTTTATTGACCATTATTGTCATCTTCCTCACCATGGCATCCCTATTCTGTGAAAATCCCATATCCCTAATCCACAGTATCTCTGGTTTGGTAATGCACCCAATAGTAAAATTACTCATAATGACTTGTAGATCAGGGACCACAGTAACATCTTTGGTGTGAATACGGTGATTGGTGAGTATCTTGACCTCAACTAAGGTGTGATTGTGTTTAATGCCACGGATATAATAAAGAAGTGAATTGCTAATATTAGCAGTGGGTTACTCATAAATTGGGTGAGGATACATTATATGCAGTTTGTTGGTGGGAGGGAAAGAGTTAAGCCTGAAGTCACACATCAGGAAAAACCTAGCTGCCTTTTATAGCTATCATAGCCACCATAGTGCTATATAGGGAAAATAGTAGCTATAGTACGCCTAGACAAGTCCCTATTATATAGTGCTATATAGCAGCACTATATTGAGACATTTGCTATACCAGTTATAATAGCGCCTCTGTAATGCATGTACTATACCTCTACTATAACTGCTACCATAGAACATAAAAGCTATCACTACCGTAAAATATTATTCCAGGGCATTTATATTATTTATACTTGCATTATAATTAGAGGTGATATTTAGTAAAATCAACATATATTTTTAATACGGTTATATGACACATGTAATGATAAACTATCCTAACAAAGTTGAAACCATACCTTTAAATCAGATACTGTAGATTATCCATACTGTGTACAATGCACTCAGTAATGTTATATAAATGCTGATCATGGCATGATCAGCTAAGGGCAGGGCTTCAATATTATTGATTACTCAGTTGCCCTTTACCTTAATGTTCTTGTCCTCCACTATTGATCCCATCACCATTGCATATTTGGCAACTGTAATGTTAGGGATAACCTGTGAGAAGTGATAACTTACTATTTAGGAATTAAAATGTGGGTTTTAGCCCTACTAAAATATTTGCTGTTGCAAAAATGGCAATCTGGAGCAACACACTGGAAAAGTATTAGCGAAAAAGAGTATATGGAAATGTTGAATAACCGCAACAGAAAACTTGATAGTGGGGAAATTGCAGACACCCATAGGCAAACTAGATCAGACAAGGGAACAAAACGGCTCCAAAGCCCTGTCAATGAGCATACAATATCCAAACGACAATGCGTAGATATATGTACCATTGAAGGCGAAGCTCCTTTGACATCTTCTGCAGTCGCTATTCAGGCGGGAGGATCAACAGTCCCAAGTCAACCACCTGCCGGTGCCATTGCATCCCTCCAAAAGTCCACTGATTGCTATCAGAATTCCTTGCTGGAAGACACAGGTCTTCTCTTCTCTCCGAACCCTGCTCTTGACCAATTTGAAGACATCCTTACAAATTTTGACCATGCGCAAGGGAGGCCACATGATGATGTGGCACAGATGCTTGAAAGCCAAACCACAGGCACAACGGCACTGCCAAATCCCAATGCAGTCAACATAGCAGCTAGAGACACCAGAGACGTACTGAACATCAATGAGCAAATGGGGACCACAAATACTGATTTGCCGTCTCTTCAAGATCTCTTTAATCCAGGTCTTTTCAATGATGTTGGACAACCACCTGTTGAATGGCAATTCAGAAACTCTGATATGTCCATGCATGGAGCACACGAGGGCCCTAAATGGTGGCAAAATTTACTGGATCAATAGTATATCACTGTAAATACCCCAAAAAATGTCCTTGGTCTGTGTTCAAATCGTGATGGATCTGGCAATCCCAGTGCTCCGTCTGAACTTGAGTATATCTTGACGTTGTTGTGGATCTATGTAGCGGCTAATATAATATCAGAAAAAAAAAATCACAAAATATAGCGTAAAGCAAAACTTACTATCCACTCAAGTCGGCAATTGTTTGCCCCAAGTCTTCATAGGCCTCATACTCACCACCCTCATGACTGAGGTCAAAGCCCTGATGAGCGGCATATGGGATGTTGTCAATGTCTACACCTTGATCAATAATCATTTCTTCTACATACTCACAGTCCTTTGACGACATTTCTAAAATCAGAATTATAAGTCATAGAGAAAGAGGAAGTATGACACTAACATACCTTGAAGTTCAGCCTTACGCATCTTATCTGCCTCCTCCATACGCTGCTTTTGTTTTCCGGCTGTTGCCACATCCACAGTGCAATCAAACCGTCCGAACCGATGGATTATTGCTGACTTTGAGAGGCCAGGTACTCGTTTTCTTGAATGGGACATGGGTAGATGCAGCAGTACAGCAGGGTAGGGTGCTTGATGCTGGTGATGGGTGGCTGCAGAAAAACAGCAGTAGAATGGCGGTGTGGAGTCGTGGACAATGGTGGTGGTAGTGAGTAACGAGTGTTCCATTATATTAGTCATTCTATCGGAGACAAAAGGTTGCCGACAATGCCGCTGGCCCGGTACTTTCTCACGTCCCAGCCTACCGATTTGGTGCAGGGTTTAACGCTGGTGTCGGAAAATGCCAGAACCGAGCCTTGCATGACTGGGAGAAACGCGTGATCGCCCAACCTTGTAAGGCCTGGTAACCGGGCAGGCTAGGTGTCTTTTATACTCCTCCTGAACATGCTCACACCTCGATTGCGAAATCACGTTTTCGATTCGTCTATCATGCCCTCTACTAGTACCCCCGACTTTGACAGTGGTAAAGCTAGTGTCGATACTATCAATGTGGCACTCAAGCGGTCTCGCTCTCCGACTCAGATGGGTGACATTCCTGAACTGCCGAAGTTACAAGGAGAATCTATTCTGGAAGTTTTCACGCATAGGTCTTTGCGAATAGCATGTAAAGCCAGTTATCACGACAGTGAGACGTTGGCGGTTCTAGGAGAGGAGGTGTTACACATGATGACGACGCAACTACTGCTTTTTAAGAAACCCAGGTTGAAGGTGGAAGAGATCACTGTGAGTTTCTCTTCTACACCTGCACAGGATGTATAAATACAACTTAGAGAAGAATAAAAGGCATATGCTTCTACAAGATGAAATGATCGACAACTGGACAAATTTGTACAGGTTAAGAAATCAAGTGCGTTGCGACCCAAGCTCTTTATCCTCACTGAACAGTGTCCAAGTATATTTACTTTGTCGACAACTGGCATGGCGCTGATTTTGACTTGATCGCTAGGAAGGCCGTCTATTATTCAACGCTTATCTCGGCGCCGTATTTGCTCAGGGTGGAATCAAACCAGTGCAAGAGTGGATAGGTGGACTTTTTCGACTTTCCAGTGATCTTTTCAGAGACAGTTCGACGGCAGAGCCTGGGCCCTCTGGCTTGTCATCGCAACCGGCCAAAAAACTGAAGGTTGACGATGAGCACTATAGCGTGCTCCCACCATCCTCAGCTCCGCCTCCAATACCTTCACCTCCCCCGTTTACAGCATTTCTTTCTAATCCTCTAACCCCAGCTCAACCTAACCTTGCCTTTTTACCCCTCTTCAATCAAGCTGCGCACCAACGTGGTGTGACTATTTCCTATCCAGCCACCTTTTCTGGCCCAGCACACGCAGGAACATGGGCGATTACATGTGTTGGTGAGTTTCTCGGATCGGATCTTACTCATGAGTGACATACAAGCGATAATTTCGTGGATAGTCAACGGGATAAAAAAGGGGCATGGTTGTGGACCGAGCAAGCAGCTTGCAAAAGAAGAAGCGGCGAAGGAAGCCTACTTTGCTATGGGATGGGCACCTCGTACGTCTCGCGCAAAAACACATATTTATGAGTAAATTAATCAAATGGTTCTCATCTCGGCTCAGGTGGATAACACAAAGCATGAAGTATTGCGTTGTATATCAGTCAAGAGCACGCAATATAATGTGTTCCGATAACAGTGCGACTCGGGCATATATCATCAACTTCGCCTGTATATCGGGGAACATGCTTGGCTGTGCCCGAGAAACTCTATTATAAAACTACAGTACTGCAGCCATTGGCAGCTCTGGCAGTGCTATGGTATAGCTATTTCATGTTTCTACTATTTTTATTCATCATCTCTCGATTGTTTTTTTTTATGCAGTGAAACATGCCGAGCTTCTGATCACCTATTTTCATTATCATGCTCATATCTAGGTCTCTTAGGCTCCTCCCGCAGCCACATTGAAGAATTCTGGGGTTCACTGACTTATCAGGGCCTGTTTGGCAGCCACCGTTTTGAAATGTTGCCTGCCAAAAAAGTCTTGTTCTGTGGCCTGTTTCGGAACAAGCTGATGTGTTTGGCAACTCAGCTCGTTTCAAAAAAACTTTGTCACACCAGTCTGCTAATTGTGTTCCCAACTTTTACACTCAAACTACAGTAGCTCACACTGCTCTATCACTCTCAAACCCACCTTAAAAGCCTACAATTACCTCTCAAAAGCTCATGCTCAAGATTTCATCTATAAAAGACAGGCTCCTTGCCAACAAAGAGGACCAACCTGCTAGTCAACAATCTCAGAGTCCAGCCCAAAAAGAGCCCTGAAACATGAAATGGACTTCAGAGGATGATGCCACATAAGTGGATACATTCAAGGAGGCACAAATAAAAGATAATCAACCTGATAATAACTTCAAAAAACCAGCTTTTGTTCCTGCAGCTGTTGTTACAATACACAATTTTTGGACTTTCAACTTTCTTTCTCTGATTTAACTTTCTCTCATAGTTTTCACACAATTGTGCCATGGGGCACTTTCCCTTTGTTTAAACTCCACTTTCTTGTGCTGCACTGCTATCCTTTATTCTTAGCTACAAGTCTTTCACACAGTGGAGCTGGTCACACGGGCTGTACCCTATGACATCATCAACCACTGCCTTCATCAACTGTATAGTACACATGTACAAACCAACCTGTAGTAGTATAAGGACCCCAATAAATCCAGGAGACTTCTCAGAGAGTCCTCCTATTGTTTACCCACAATTAACTTGGTCCTATTCTAAGGGGTTTACCCACTCCTCACTCTATAGCTTGTCATTGTGTGTGCCAGAGTATAAAAACTTTGGTTGTAACAGCGGTTATGCTAGTGCAGAGCCATAAAACCAGTGGTGGTGCATCAAAGACATCTACAAACTGTAGCCAATGTTGGGGGACAGTAAGTCAACCATTGTATAACATATATTGTACTGATTTTTATCATCACAGTTAAAGGCTATGTGTCTTGTTGTTTAGCAGCTCCGAGAGCTGTCTGGTTTTGGATGGGATGATACCAGAAAGAAAGTAACTGTAACTGCTAAAGAAGATGTGTGGAATAACTATATTGCAGTAAGTGTAGAGTCAATAATTTAGTATGAGATGTACTCAATTAGATCTGTCTCTGTCTCATCCAGAAGCAAAGCCATAGTGTACAAACCCTTTTCTGCTCTACAATAATATAATAGGACTCATTGACGGCCACTATGCCACTGGTAAAAGTGCTTTTTATATCCCAGGGGTTGATGAGCATTTTTTGCCTTCATCTTATCCTTATAAGGAGCAAGTGGATCAAGATGATGTGGGCACGGTAGATGGTCATCCAGAGAGTGATTTAGACTTGGATGGTGAAGAAAAGTCTCAGATATGTGATATGGCTTAATATTGACTTAACCAAACTATTCACTCTTCTGGAATTCTATTGAAGTGTCTCAGAGCTCAACATGCAAATGTGCAGTTCTGGATCACCCACTCCTACATCTGCATCAAAGTGCCTTTGTACCAAGATGACAGAACCTTCTGCCATCCTTGGAATTGCATATGCACTTATTCTGCAGCTTTATTGCTCAGTTGTCCTAACCCTAGTATTTTCCAGCTTATTGGTGATGTCCCAAGCACACTTAAGAGGAGAATTGCTGTGATCAAGGCTACTTGTGCTGATGATGCATTAGCCATTGCTGAGCGTACACAAACAATTGCACTATTCACCAAGAATACTGCTATCGCTGATGTATATTCTGCTATCTCCAATAATGTCATTTGATCCAACTACATCTGCCTTGAGATTAATAGCATGTAATTAATAGGGCTTTACTGTTACTAGTTTCTAGTTTTGTATGTGATATACTGTTCCAATATTGCCTTTGCAATTATATCATATTTAAGTACTGCTCTTTCTTTTTACTGTGGTGTGTTGACATGATTATACATGACTATAATCTGTCTGATCCTGCCATATAGCTTGATTATTCTGTCCACTACCTATACTGTCCCCTTCATTGTTACTGTCATCAGGATCATGGATGTGTATGAAGTTGTGAAGAATGTAAAATGTAGGAACAAGCTTTGATTGTACCTCTAAAGCATACTCTAGAGCTGCAACAATTAGTTGAAAGTGTCTCTTGATCACCCCAAAGATGCATACAATAGTATTACAAGCTTGAGTATGATGTAGATTGAAAAGCTCTTTGAAGTCTTTGGGCCTGAAAGATAACAAGTATGAGCTGAAATATCAAATTAGAAGAAACAAAGACTTTGTGAAGCTTTACCCACGGTAGTGGACTGTTACGATAACACATTTTTGGACCTTTACTTTTATTTTCATTCTCCACTTTAACCTTTTACTGTAGTTTTCTCACATTGTGCCATGTGGCACTTTCCTTTTGTTCAAACTCCTCTTTCTTGCGCTGCGCTGCCTTTCTTCTTATTTTAGCTACAAGCCTTTCACATAGTGAAGCTGGTCACACGGGCTACACCCTCTGACATCATCAGCCACTGCTTTATCAATTGTATTGTACAACATGTACAAACAACCTGTAGCAGTATAAATACCTCAATAGATCCAGAAGACTCCTCAGCGAGTCCTCCTATTGTTTACCCACAATTAACTCAGTCCTACCTTAAGGGGTAACCACTCCCTTTCATTACTCTCTGACCAGTCAACAGTACATACTGTTGATTGGTATTCTCTTTTTTTTGCTTGTCTGACTTGTGCGCCAGAGTAACTAATTCTTGATTGTTACAGGGACCAAAAGAGAATCACATGAGGGAAAGTCTACATCTGCAAGATAATATAGACCTGGAGGAATTACAAAGCCATTGCTCCAAGCATTGTTGCACACACAACTATTTGCAGCACTGCCCTCCCAGTCAGATAGGACAAAACATCATCAGGAACAAAAATATTGATATGACTACTATCTATGGCACCACAACACTGTTTAAAAAAGGGATAGAACTTGGGCTCATCTCAGATTTCAGGAGGGACCTCCTCATTAGGGGAGATTGGGGTATTAGCATACAGTGAAAGATCCTATGGGTAACAAGGTTTGATACTCGGTGAATGATATTAAAGAATAAACATATGTGCATATTTTGAAATTGTATCAGCACTATGCTGGAACCTCTCATGCATATCCCTATTTGTCCCACCATTGCAACACATTCAGAGAAAGATAGCAAGCTGCTCCTGTGTTGAGAAATGCTTGGAGTGACAAAAACCCTCATGATTCTTGAGCTCTTGAAGGAGCCTGTGGAACATCAGAAAAAACCTAGTTGCCTCTTGTAGCTATCATAGCCATTATTGCACTATATAGCAAAAATAGCAGCTATAGTTTGGCTAGACAAGTCCCTATTATATAGTGCTATATAGCAGCACTATTTTGAGACATTTGCTATACCAGTTATAATAGCACCTCTGTGATACATGTACTATACCTCTGCTATAACTTCTACCATAGAACATAAGAGCTATTTTTACCATAAAATATTATTCCAGAGCATTTATACTATTTTTACTTTTATTATAATCAGAGATCATATTCAGTAAAATCAACATATATTTCTAATACGGTTACATGACACAGGTAAAGATAAACTATCCTAACAAAACTGAAACCATACCTATAAATCAGATACTGTAAGTTATTCATACTGTGTAAATGCACTCAGTAATGTTATATAAATGCTACCATGAAATTACTCACCACAATTTCATGGATAGCTTGTGAGTTTTGCTTGATCGCTCTTCAAGTCTGTGCAAGTATTATAATAACCCAATGAGTGACTACCACCAAGTATTAGATTGGTGAACTTACCTCTGCATATTCACTGACAACTCAGAAAAAATTAAAGTGGTTATACATATACCAATAAATCACTGTAATGACAAAAGACATCAGTGGGGATAGCTAGGACTGATGAGTCCCATATATAAGAATTCTGGACACAAACTATACCTGAAGGTAAACTTGTGATATGGTGGTTAAATATGGTGGTGGCATTCATAGCGCTTATGCCAATGCAGATGGTGGCTGAGAATAAACAGAGCTTGTATTAGTATCACATGAGATAATTGTTAAAAAAAACATATATTAAGCTAGTAAGGCACTTATTCAGTGTTGTACTAGCTTGATTTTGTTGCAAAAGGTAGAGAAAATCCAAGTGAAGCGTCCAAATGTACTGGGCTGTGACATGACTTGTGACATAACACAAGTGCCACATATACATCAAAAGCTGACTTTGAAAAAAAAATGGCACTCTAATCATAGGAAGTGTGTGACAATAGACAGTGGCATCATTTATTTTCACACACTCTATTTTAGTGTACAAAGTCAACTATTATGGTGCTCTTCACTTAGCCACCACCTATTTTGTGCAATATTCCCACCCCTTTAAGAAAAAATCTGATTTTAATTTTGTCTTACCAAAATAATCTTTTTGACAAGGGGAACAAAACTATAAGAGTGATTTTTTATTAGATTAAATTTAGTGGATATAAATTTATATATGGTCCATTTTCAGTCAAAAAGGTGTGTTATGGTCTCCAAAACATGTCTGTGTGATTTGTATTTTGTTGAGCTGAATTTCTTAACCTGTAACTGTGTATCTTTGGTCCTCAAGCCTGACCAATATGCCTCCATCCTCAGAATCCAACCAACCGCTCTCAGGATCTGATGGCATTTCATAGTTGCTGCTACTGGGCCAGCACTCACCCCACCAGTATATCCACAGTTGGAATCACATTCCAAGTCCAGCTTCATGAGCATGTATCTGGGTTTGGCATGGTCTGCTGGTGTAAGATGCATGGCCATGTCATTGTCAGTATCTCCCTTGAGCCATTCAGGCATCACTTCTGCATAGTAATGGACTGCAGATTCTGGTCCATCTTTGGGTGTAGCGGTGACTCTGCTGGTGGGCCATCTTGTAGCTCTTACTTGAGCAGCCTTTAGTCTTTGGGCTTTCTTGGACATCGGGGGGAGGACAAGATAATGTCTCACTCAATTCATCACTGGTCTTGTCCCTCAGTACTGTACATAGGGTTAGGGTTAGTTTATTCTCCAAATCAATTTGGCCACTGCACCAAACAAGTGGCACCTAAGTGATGAGCACCATAGAAAATTTCACTTTGGTGTGGCAATTTAAAACATTTAAAATTGTTTACACACCAAATCTAATCTAATCATGGGAAGTGTGTGAAAATGGACAATGGCACTTTGTCCATTTTCACACATTCAATTATAGTGTTCAAACTCAACTGCTGGAAAATTCGCTTTGATGCCACATATTCAAATTCCACTTACATTCATCCTTGTGCATCAAGCAAGACAACTCAACTTATTTGTTGTGATGTCAGTGGTGTTCTCTAGTATCTGTACAATTGAGTATTTGTGATAGATTTTTATAAAACCATGAAGCTAATTCACCTGCATATCAAATTATTGTCTGCACAACACCCTGATTTAGCACTACACCAAATGAGACCCAGATGGGTTGGATAATGTGAAGTCAAAATAGCTGAATTCCAAAGCAGATATGAAGGCTTTGGATGAGACAGGCAAAGTACATACCAAATCTTCCCCAAGCCTCCGTCTGGACCTGTTGACTAAAGGCATTCTATTCCTAGGGTAAGGCCTTGACCTTCTGACACCTCCAGGGTGTGGGTGATGCCTCCTGTTGTTTTGTCCAGATACTGATGATGAAATTCTGCTTTCAGAACGTTGTGAAGTTTCAGGTGGGTCTGATTGAATTGCCTTGAGTCTTGCAGCAAGTTAAGGGACATGAGAATCTCCAGATGTCTCTAAACAGTCAATTTTATCCTGAGTCAAAAAAATGAGCCAGGGTCAATAGGGAGGTTGTTGTGTATGGCTGGTTGAATGTTCCCACAGTCTTAACATCATGTGGCAGCGGGCAGGAGGCACAAATGTCTTGGCAGGACACTCACACCATCAAATAGTGAGCGGGATTTCTCATGGTCCTGCCTGCTTACCTCTGAGGCTATAATGCATCCCTTATACTGGCATCTTGTGCCACACACCTGTTATAATTCAATTCATCTCTCAAAAATGGATCAAGCATACTGAGGATAGACGTACTATTCAAGTTATCAGTGATAGAAGGACACACAAAAGTAGTGTGGATTGATATATCATGCTTACCCAAAGTTTTAGCAGGTTTTACTTCACCTCAAGGATGTTACAGCCTGACCTCTATACTACTACAGTTTATTGCTACAAGGATCTCTGTAAACAAAATGGTCAGTTAGCACCCTACCTTTAGCATGTGTGAAAACTATGCTTACTAAATTAGCTGAGAGACAGCAGTGGTTATGCTGAGCTGCCTTTATTGGCCTATACTCAAGCCTCACAAGTCAATCTCAGCTACAGATACAGGGTAAGTCACTCTTTTCTTACTGGATAGTTTTACTGGCTGATTGAAAAACCATTAGATGATATCTTTTGTATGGCCACATAGCTTGAATAAGATTGCGGCTCACAAGGCAATGGATTTTGAACTGAATAAGGAGTGATCTGTGCATAGCTATTCCAATCTACAAGTAATGGATTTCACCCATGTATTCATGTCGCCACCAATTCCACTATGGGCCAATCCCGATGTGATTTCTAATCTTGTCCACTATCACAAGAAAAAGGTCATTATTATGACTTAAAGGATTACCTGGATATTTGTTTTGCTGAGCAAATGCAGAAGCCCCATTAAACCCCCAATATATTGGACATTTTGAAGCAGTAGAGAAAAGACACCCATTTTCTTGAAGAGTTAACCAGCAAACTAGATCCTCATGCAGGTGATATTGTGAAATGGCATGATTAGGCTTATCCTGAGTCAAAAAAATCACAGTCAACTTACTCACCATCTCATATTATGCAAAAATGGATTTTTGGATATCTGGTTGGGATACTACCCTGTCAGAGGGGACTGTGGTGTCTATTGTGGAGGAACTTTGCAGTTTTTTTTAGGTATCAAAGGCCCTAGACCTTGTGGATATATTATGCATGGTTAGTGTCAGGCGTATTCCCCATATTTCCACACAAAATACAGAAAAAGGCAGGAGGACAAAATAGCATCATTATTTAATAAGGTGAGTCATTATTCTATAGAGAACTCTTACTAGTTAGCTTAATATGAGATAGGTTGTCAACAATAACTTGCAATCAGTTTCAATTGATGCTTCAATGAGGAAGTCACACCAATGGGTGTCATCTGCAAAAAGGCTGGTGTCTAATAGATGCAAACCAGACCTAATGCTTGTTGATGATATTGTGGATGGGGGCTATACCTGGCTTCATCTGCTCTCTATGTGCAAGGTCAAATATATGGATCTTCCCCACCTTGTCAACCTTGTCATAGGCCAGTTGGCAGATACTGCATTGTTTGTCTTTTGTGAGCAAGTTGCTAGGAGATTTTACATTGGATTGTCTCTTTGCAGGCCCATGCTAAGGATATCACTATTAACCAGAGGAGGCAACACTACCACTTCACCATTTGACATTAATAGATACCCTGAGCTATTTATCAGGATCATGATCTTCCTTCATTACTCGCAGATTAGATGGCTATGCTACAACCATGCTATGGATCACAACAATGAGGATGTGCCATTTTTGTGTGTCAAGCATGGTGTAGCTACTCTACACTTCAGGCTTTGAATGTTCCAGTTGAGCTCACATCTGCCCAGTCTACAAAGGAGGATCCTACAATCTGTCCTGCTTGTCACAAGAAGCTTAAAACTCCCATCTGTTGTCAGCAAGAAGCTGCAAGTGGTATAACAAATGGAAGTGACAAAGTTTAACAATTCCAGGAGAACTTGATAGGGACAATGGTTTGGAGGCAAGAAAAGTACCTGATATGTTACCTGATGAACTTAGACCTATGGATGAAGACCCAGAAGATGTGGTGGGTTGCTATTATGATCATCTGTATGACCTAATTCCCACAGAATCTGAGGAGAATATGGCTGGACCCTTAAAACATCCTGATGAAGATGATGAGAAGTGGATTGAGGTACCCCATATGGATTCAGATAAGGCGGATGGATCAGGGAACATTTTTTCATCCTTTGCATCAGAGTTAGACTATATCAGGAAAAATACTTTGGCTATATAGACTCTAATAGTACTATAGTTGCAAATATAGTTGTCATAGTGATCATAGCTGCAATAGAAACCCCAACATCTATTCAGAAACAATGTGCTCTTATAGTACTCTTATAGTTGGCTATAGCCTCTTATAGCACTTATAGCATATGACTAAATATATGAGTTATGAGAGAGCTTGTGGCTGATTTAAAAAAATCAATCACACACACAAGGTTTGAACTCTCAACCTATTGGTCCGTTTTTTTGATGATCAATCAATCTACAGCCATATACCACACATTTATCCTCTACACCATACAGGCTTACAAAATATACTATACATGTGTAATATATTGACCTTTCAAGAGGGTTGCTTGCTGAGTTATACAGGATAGAATAGGCCATAAATCATTTGACAGATCAATGGCAATACCAGGGGTACATTGCCTCTTCTCTCTCTCAAGCACATATATTGATTTATCTCTTTCAACCAAGGTGGCTGATAAATTAAGTTTATCCTACCACAATATATATGGGCTTTATAAGCTGGTCAACCGTGTTCCAGAATGTGCTACTTGGAAGACTAGAGAATTGTGGTTCAGGAATAGTCCTAATTATAAGCATATGGTTTATCATTGTGATCCTATCAAAGCTATCAAGTCCTTGCTAGAAAATCCAGCTCATGCCAAGGATATTGTCCACAGGCCCAAGCACATCTTCACCAATACTTCAAAATTGCACAGGATTTACAATGAGATGTGGACCGGAGATTGGTGGAACACAGTACAGACAGATGGCATGAATCCCCCTGTTACCATAGCCACAGATAATATGCAACTTACCCAGTTCTCTGGCAACAAGTCTGCTTATCCGGTGTATCTAACTCTGGGTTCTAAATAGTGTATCTTTTGTGCTATGTGGCACTTTTTTTTTTTTTTTTCTAACTCCCGTTATCTTTACTTTCTCATGCCACACTACTGTCTTTATTTATAGCTACAACTCTCTCACGTGGTGGAGCTGGTCACAAGGGCTGCACCCTATAATATCATCAGCCACCACCCTTAGCAACTGTATAGCAAAACATATACAAACAAACTATAATAGTATATAAACCACAATTGATTAAAGGAGACTCCGCAGCAAGTCCTCCTGTTGTTTACCCACAACTAACTTGGTTCTACCACTATGGGGTTTATCCACTCCTATTTTCCTCACACTTGCTTGTCTGAGTTGTGCGTCAGAGTATCAAAACTTTGGTTGTAACAGGAGACTCCTCAGCAAGTCCTCCTGTTGAATACCATCAACTAACTGGTTCCTAAGGACTTGAGTCTATTGCTCTTATCTTATTCAGCGCTATCCTCTTAAGTTCCTTTGTGTGTGCACCAAAATATAACTTTGGGTATTGTCAAACTAGGACTCACAAGCCAGACCACAGAATTAATCCTGCATGCACCTCAGCATTAAAAGGAGTTCTTGAGAATGTTTTTGACTATACATTGACCATTAGGCTTAGTGCCAGGCTATAAAGTCTAAAGGCTATTCCCCAAGTTCAAGGTGAGCCCTTTGTTCCAAGGAAAAAGAGATAAATGAGTTCAAAACAAAGTACTCAGGCCAGTGTCAGGAAGACCAGGCAATTGCAGGTTAGTTCCAGGAATGTTGACATACACACATTCGGTGTAGCAACAATTATGTTCATCCATGGAGTACTTGATGTCTTCCAGAGTTCCCTCAGCACCATTGACTACTTTGCAAGATATTGCCACATTTTCAGTCACCGTGACACACATGCCGCACACAAGAGGTAGCTTACCCAAGCTGTCATGAGACACTGTAGAACCTACCTTATCCCATACAAATCATTGTAGCTCATTTTTGAGACACTGTTTTTCATCATATCTTTGGAGTGGTAGACAATAAAGTCTTGGTTGAAATTCCGGGCAAAATTTCAAACTTTTTGATAGTTAATGGCATCTCTCAATACTTTTTTGCAGACAATTACAGGTGCATCTTTGAAATCATGGTGTTTGTCAGAATCATGTGCGGACAGATACATATTACATGCAACATTTATTTAAAATGTTAAAGTCTGACTCACCAAAGTTACAACCATGTATGTTCATCGGTTAGCACACTAGTTCCATTCCATGCACATCCCAAGCAAATCCTCTGCAAGAGGTTGATGAAGGCCGGATCACCCTGTGCACGCCAGTTTTGCTTGAGTCCAACAACATTGTTCACTTAATGCCACAAGAACGCACCATGTAAAGATGATTGCCCATATTTGGTTTGTGTGGTATTAGGAGTAAGGCGGCTAACTAATAAATAGCCCAACAATGTGGTCTCTCTCACTGGTTTAAGTTGTCCAAAGTCTCCTGTATGGTTCATATTGATTCCACTAAAAGGTTTCAAAGTACGTGCCACATTGTTAAGCTTTGGCAGAAGAAAGGCGGTGAGATATATCACTTAATAGAGACACTGAGACCATAGAAATCTCATCAATAACACGGTAATTAACATCTCTCCATAAGTTCTCCAGTTCATTTTGATTTGGCTTATGTTGGGATTTCAGCAGAAAGGTCAATAAATGTATGGTGGATCCACCTATGAGAACAGCAGCACAACAAGTAGGTGCACTTAAAAGTAATTCATGGCTTGAGCGACACTTGTCAAAGGAATTAACAATTGCTTTGATGACATGGCTTTTTCCAGATCCCCCAATACCAGCAATGTAAAACATCAACTGTTCAACACTTTTAGAAGTGTAATGCTTGCCCACAAGCTCTACAGCACATTATTGTTCAGTGTTAGTAGCAAGGCCAAATTAGGTGATAATGCATTGTAGAATGTGAAACAGAGTAGAAGAAATAAAAATATCAGCAGGGATAGTGCCATGGTGTGTAGCATGAATGTGTTCAGGATGCAGTTCAATCAACAAAGAGTTCACTTCATATTCTTTTCTGGGAGGCTTGTGTGTAACTTCTTGATGGACTTTGCAGGGTCTTTTCCTTTTTTTCAATTCTTTCATCAGCAAACTCTGGATTTGAATATTTGCCATGTCCTCCTCAGTTGCCAGTGCAGGAGGAGAGTATACCATAGGAGGTGTGTATTATATGGGGTTGTCAAATACACCCGCACGGTTCAAACTTGACAGTACTTCATTAACTTTTTCCAGTTTCTTATCAGGCTGTACCACTGATTCTACCACTGCAAGGGCATCAAAAGCTCCATCAATAATATCCAACTCATTGCGCTGCAAGATGGCTAAACGTCAGATATCTTCCTGCTTGAAGTTTACACCCTCAACACTCACAGATTGGTTTGCACTTGTTTCTTGTTCTGCTTCTGATTGGTCACAGGCATCTTTGCACTCATATTCAATGCACTTGTTTGTGACTATGTTGCACACATAAGGTGAGAACTGATAATGCTCATAAGCCTCTCACCAGCTCTGATTGACCACTTTCAAGTCACAAACAGTGTGTTATGATTTAAACAATATTAACATTGCTCAGCACCAAAGGTCATATCATGAATTGCCCCGATCCGCTCAAGCCAATAGGTTACCCAGCAAAACAGGAGCAAAAGGAACTTCTCGCAAGTGCACCAAATGCAAGTCTTTTTGTGGATGGGGAGCGATAAATTGACCATGAGGAAGAGGTGTTCTGCCAGAAGGACATGGAAGATTGCTGTGTTCAGAAATATTGGTACCGTTGTTTGTTGTACAGTAGGTAGAAGCTTAGACATACAAGCAATTTCTTGTGTTAATGGAATCTTAAGGACTTGCTCACTGTATCCCCACAAGCTCATCTTTCCAAATGTTTCATCAGTCCCTCGACAACAATAACCTACAATGTCCATATTAGCGCTGAATTTTTGACCGTCAAAGGTGAGAAGAACATGTTTGTGGGAGCTCTCAGGAAGCTCAAAATCACCTTCATTCTTATCTTCATCTTTGTTGTCAGAAAGTCCTTCTTCCACAATATCATGAAATCTATCTCCGGGCATTTCTGAGTATTCCATTTCTTCATGAAGTATATAACAATGAACATCACCCTGGCAAAGCAACTTAACATTATGGCTTTTGTAACAGTCACCTCCACTCACGAGGTAACTCATGACCCGTTGGTGAGATATTTCTTAACATGGCATTATCACATTTACTGCTTTTGTAAACAAACTTCAATGTCTCACTGCAGTGCTGTCAGATGAGCCTGAATACTTAATGCTGTTTTGTTTCACAGCATAATGCAGTGTGTCAAATCCAACATGAACGGGCAAGAAACTTTTATTAATATAGTCTGTAACGTAATAAACTAAAGCTTTTGCTGTTTCACCAGATCCAATATACTTAATGTCCATATTGCAGCGCATCAAGAAAATCACAATGTTGTTGAAGTTGTTGATGTGTGGATGCAATCAGCGAAGCAAAATAGACTCAGTGGTTGGGTCTATCTCTGATAAAGGTTGCGTGGATCTATTGATTCATATCCTGCAATGAGAATCATCACACGGTTCACCAGGTTTGAGGTGCTTCCAGCACATATCAGTATGCTCATGCCAATTACAGGTAATGGACACTTTCTTTACAAAACTTTGAAAATCATGCTTGAACTCAGTTTTGTTGTGGAATTCTGAAGGGAAGTGTTGAAGATGAACATTGTCTACATCTGGAGGGCATGAAGGTCTGGTAAGGGGCACACCTGCACTTTCTTGCAAAATGTCTATCATTCCGGGTAACTTGTACTTGATGATGGACTCCAACCATGATATCATGCGTTCTTGGTAAGCAGAATCATCTTTTATGTTATCCTTTAATTGTTGTGGATTCGGGTTTCCCCGTAACCAGAGAAGAAGATGACATTGCAAAGTACTGTGACCTTGGGCTTCAACCATGCCATAAAATGCTTCACTATGTCAAAAAAGACCAGAGGATTGGTAGCTGTGTATAACAACAATCTTAAGAAATTGACTCATCATCATATGGAAAAATTGACTTGCTGCTGCAGGGTTCTTGGCCACAAATAAGCTTTGTTCACATGGAGACATGGCCTGCCATACTCCTGGCAATAAATGACCTAGTGTTCCTACTAGTGGATGAGACACATCCAATGGATTAAGGGTAAGAAAAAGAGCTGGAGTACCGAACCTTTTGATGAGTGCTCAGATTTTGTTTCTGCAGCACAACTTGTAGCCAGTGAATCCCTTAACTTCTTTGAAAATAAGTTTCAACTTGTTCAGAAGTTTAATCACTTTTTTCTGATAAGTGTTGCTGGGTTTAGCTGATGAGTTTCTCTCCCACAGCCAAATAAGATCTGTCAATCCAGGCACATGTTCGGCGAGTTAAGCGCCTACATTGTTTCATAAGTGAGAAGGAACTCAAAAGCATATATAGGCAAAGTTAGGATAGGCAAAGTTAGGATCACATTGGAAGTGTCCATGATCTTGCATCAACAAATTGTGAAGTTGCCTTTCAAATGAGATGCATTGGCATTCTGTTTAATTAAGGTGATAAAAGGAACCGACCCCCCATGGATCCAAGTGCAGGAACAAAAGTGACAACATTGCTGGATCACTGTCATTCATCAAACAAGTACCACTTTGCCCATCCAAACAGGAGGCAAGAGTAGTTGCTTTCATCACTCTTCAACTTGCAGGTGAATTATCACTGATTGTATATACAACAGCATCAAGTGTATAAACGGGTTTTATTGTTGAAGAAGATGCATTATGATCCTCTCGTATACTGTACCCAGAGTGGCTGAGTTTGCATTTCCTTCCGCTGGCACAATGTTTAGAGAGACAGTGCTTGCCAGTTGATCATCATCATCACCCTCATACATTTGTTCAAAGTTCTCATTGCTTTACTGTACTCCACTACATCTATACCACAGATTATTTGCTATCAGAAAATCAAGCAAAGTTTTAACTTTGCACTTGCTAATGACAACAGGATGTAATTTTTGAATGGTCTCTCGGTTAACAGTGGTATCTGTGCCAACAAACAACGCTGTGATTGATTACTCAATATCTTCTTGACAGGGAGGCAAAAACTCTCAGACTTTGATTATATCTTGTGGCAATATAGCAACATTCCCTTTCACATAACTTTGAGATGTAGCAGAATCTGCACAAATTCTATTTTCCTTCCGAGAAAAAAGGTAAGATAACTGAGTGGAACAACATTGAGCTATGAGCATCAGATTAAACAAAGAGCTGTTATCAACACAATCAATAATTTCTCCAGGAAAAATGTCATGCCTATAATATTGAAAATTAGCCCAGGACTCAACAGGCTGCTTTCCGTGCTCTATGAGAGAATGACAGCAAGAGGAACACATATCTACGGTGCCTAACTCAGCAGTGTGTTGAGGGCCTCTGTAGGAGGTAGGTAACATGTGGGGAGGTAGTAAGTTGTTCCTTAGCAATTTAAGGTCAAAACCCACAGGATCCACTGCCTGCATGTCTTCAAACAGTGTTGTCTGACCACACACAGCACATGGACTACCCTCTTTCCATCATCAATGGGCACATTCAATTCCACAACAGGCAGTGCATTAGTCTGCCAACATCCATGACATCCAAACAACAACAGAAAATAAGATTTCAAAAGAAAAATGTAAGCTGTAACAACCAAGAGTTAGTTACTCTGGCGCACACAAGAACACACTATAAAGAAGATGTTGAGGGAGTGGTTACCCCTTAAGCTGCAGAGAGTTTGTTGGTATACAACAGGAGGACTCGCTGAGGAGTCTCCTGGATCTATTGGGGTATATATACTAATACAGAGTGTTTGTACTTATACACTGTACAGTTGATAAAGTTAGTGGCTGATGATGTCATGGGGCTAGCCCGCATGACCAGCTCCACTGTGTGAGAGAGTTGTATCTAAAATAAGAAGAAGGCAATGCGGCGCGAGAAAGAGTAGTTTGAACAAAAGGGGAAGTGCCGTGTGGCACCATGTGTGAAAGCTAAAGTGTACAAGGTTAAAGCGGAGAATGAAAAAGGAGGAAAGGTCCGAAAATTGTGTTATCGTAACATAGGCTGCACATGAAAAAAAGGAATAATGTGCATACCTGCAAAATGAGCAGAGGAATGCGAAGAGGCTGGGACGGGCAGTACTTGCGGTGTAGAGGCAGAAGGGGGAAAAACCCCACCTGATGACAAGGATGCAACCGGTGGGGACAAAAATGCCGGAGAGGGTGAAACATTTGAAGAGTGTTTAAGAGTTTTGGAAGTACCAGTAGTCTCATTGAGCGCAGAGGGAGATTGGCCCATGAGTGGGGGTAATGAGTGTGGAAAGAGGAAAAAAGAATGTGTGTCTGTGGCAGTACAATGAAAAGAGATGGTGCTCACATGCTAAGTGTGGATGGTCGGTACAAATCACCAGGGCCAAAAGTAGTGTCAATAGCTGGTTATGAGACCTGGTAGCCTACGGTACCAGGAATAGAAATGAAATAAGAGACTATTATGTAATTCTATAGGTATTGTATAGTTTCTTTACTTCAGTCAATGGGTAAAAGACTTTAACAATGGATGAGGAATGAGTAAGTAAAAATTTGCTGGAATGTCTGATGTCTAAACTAGGAAGGAGATTGTGCCACTTGTGGTTATTGGCGTCTACCTGTCACTTACACTTGTTGTGCTTGGGCTGCACACTCACTAAAGCCTAATAATGTCATGAAATTTTAAGGTTGACCTTATCACAACACAATGGGATCCGCACCCGTGTACAGTGATTCTGGACCTTCTGGGCATGCAACCAATCAGTATGCTTTCCAAGTACGTCTTGGTAGCTTAGTTGGTAAAGCACCAGACCATGAAAGCTGGAGTCCCAGGTTCAAGCCCTGGCCAATGCATGTTTTCTCATACTATAAACAAATGTCATAATTTGTCAGACCTTACACAAGGGTAAGTAATGTATGACATGGCAAGCTCAGAGAATACCTGTCATTGCTGGAGCTATACTTTTCCACCATTTGAAGATCATCATCAGAATGTATCATTCTATGCTGACCATGCAGCAGATGATACTACTCTCAATATAATGGACAGTCAAACCTTACTTGGCAGATTTCTATGCTCAACATAGGCAAGTTCTCTCTTCTCTTAACTGAGTCCTACCCAGACTCTAAACCAGTCAACAGATGTGTGTGTATGCTACATCCTAGTGCTTACACTGCGGGCATTAGCTTATTTAAGCCCAGCTTATATCCTGAAAATATGGGAGTTCTGGGTTCTGATTGGCTAGAAAAAGCTAAAATTGAATGTTTTCAGGATATAAGCTGGGCTTAAATAATCCAATGCCTGCAGTGTTAGTGATTATATAATCTGATTGTATAATTATCCGAGATTTTACCAAAACTTGAGTTGAGTATACCACACATGGCCGACTGGCACAACTTGTAGTGGCGCCAAGTTTGGCCCTATTTGCCTTTCCGCTCCTTCCACTCAAATTGAGCAAGTCATGACCGACGTCTGGGGAAAATTGATCAAAGTTGTAAAAATGAAAAACAATTCAAATATAATGTACCTAAGTGATGTATATTTTGCCACAAGTGAAATGGCCTGAAAATACTGACTGGTGAGCGCCCAACTGCTTGTGTAGCACATTACATATCCTTTGTGCATTGTGTATAAGCAACTCCCGGGCTGTTTTGTGGCTAGGTTTGTTGCTCTGTAAAACTCCTTGGATCACTCCTGAAAGTGTGAGTTCATTCTGTTGTAGACATGCTATAATGTTACTTAACCAGCTTGCAGTACTATTTCCTGGCATTGCGGCGGTGTCCTTAGGTTAGTGTAGGGCAGTCAGGTCCTTATATAGGTTGCTATAATTATGTTTTACATTCCTTGCACAATGCTGTATCTTTGCAGGTCACTTGCAGCCTATTTCACTTGTGGCAAAATATAGATCACTTAGGTACATTATATTTGAATTGTTTTCTACTTTTACAACTCTGATTGATGTTCCCCAGATGTCGGTCATGGCCTGCTCAATTTGAGTGGAA